AAATGCAATAAAATATATTTTTTTAAAAAAAGAAGAAATAAAATTGCATTCACTTTTAACAACAACAACAAAAAAAGAACTACAGGCACATGCCACCACGCCCAGCTACTTTTATATTTTTAGTAGAGACGGGATCTCATCATGTTGGCCAGGATGGTCTGTTTCCTGACCCTGTGATCTGCACTCCTTGGTCTCCCAAAGTACTGAGCCAGCACACCTGGCCTGTTTAAGTTTATTTCTTATGTTTCCTCTGATCATCTGAAATGTGTATATTCCAATATTCAATCTCTGTGTATCATGCATATTCACTCAAAAATAAATTACTCTTGTACGTTTCTCTTTCCTTATCCTCCAAAAAAAATGCAATGAGTTGATCGGGTCCTTCAAATTATTATTTACTAAGTTATTCTTTGAATAAGTAACCATCAATAAGAACATCAATTTTTTATTTGATTACTTTAATCCAAATTTGTTTTTCACATTCAGTTGTCATTCTCATTGCACTGTATTAAAAAGGGAGAGAGTTTTGTATCAAGTCTGGAACCTTTTTAAGGTGCTAATAGAGCACGAAATCTGAGAAAGGCATCTTTAATTAGTAAGGATGTTGAGGGTTTAATGTCTTGTGCATTGACATTTAAACTGATCTCTTCCTTGATTAGGATAAATATTTTTGAAACCGTAATTTGAATTGCCCGAACACTACACAATGGCAAAACCTACATTTAGAACACTTCACTAGAATAATCATTTCACTATATACCTACATTATATCAAAACATCATGTTGCAGACCACACACCATATATGTACATGGTATAGGATGTTCTCCAGTGCAATCTAAAGAACACAAGATCCAATAGTAGAATGTGCAAATTGGTCTCTTTTCTAACATTTTGACAGTAGATACTACTACTTAGGAATGCCACTAAACTCTTTAAGCCGCATATGGTTCTTGTAGGGATTTATTAACATAGGCATGTAAAAATCTGCTTTGTAATTGGGACAAATGCATATGTCCTATGGTCAAAATACTTATGTTCACCCCCTTCCACTCATATGTTGAAAATCTAATCCCTAAGGTGATAGTATTAGGAGGAAGTGCCTTCAGGAGGCAATTAGGCCATGAGGGCAAAGTCCTCATGAATGAAATTAGTAAAAGCAGCCTTAAAAAGTTTTCTTGCCCCTTCTACCACACAAGGGCACAATTAGAAGGCAGCATCTGTGAACCAGAAAGCAGGGCCTCACTAGACACTAAATCTGTTGGTGCTTTGGTCTTGGACGTTCCAGCCTCCAGGACTGTGAGCAATACATTTCTGCTAATAAGGAACCACACAGTTTATGATATTTTGTTATAGCATCCCAAATGAACAAACAATCTGTAAGGCATTAGCAGGATTTTATTCATATTTCTATTACTATTAGTGCCCTAAAATACTCTGGTTATTTTCATTACTATACAAATACTAAAGAACAACTTTGCATTGGCATAACCATTTATGTCTCAGTCATGGGAAACACTGGCATTCTTACATCTTCTTTCCATGTTGCTATTCACTCTATAATTAATGCTGCATTTTCCCAAAGGTGCATTCTTGGCTGGCCCTTATGAGTTCTGCAAAATGGGATTCTTTTCTGCAGTATCTATGCAGAGTCCTCATCCTCTTGGACTAGAAGATGAGTCATGGCCTTATGCTCTTTGTGCTTGACTGAAAGAAAGGGCTGTTAATCAACATATACTCTTCTTCATCAGCTCTCTTCATCCCTCTTCCCTCTCCCATGCCCCTGCCTAATCTATCCTGCAATTCTTTCTCTTCAAACTGATTCATGCTCACCATCCCTCTCAGCCTAGCACTCCAGGAGGCTACAGGCAATCAAACTGAGTTGGCATCTGAAACTATTGGCTGTATGCAGCCTAGTTATTTTATTTTATTTTATCTAGACAAGGAATATCAGTTGATTGGCTTTTCTGCCCTTTCTTAATGTGCAAATGCATACCGTCGCCCACAGGGTAGCTAATGGCTTCTCCACATCCAGATTCTTGCAATTTCTACAAACAGTTGTTCCCTAAAAGAAAAGGACACTCTGGCAAAATAAAGAAAACTCTCATTTGCCAGGTAAACAAACACACCTAGAATGAGAAGGGAAAATGGTACACCCAGAGCACGTTATTCATCTCTTTGCTGTGCTGACTTTTGGCTAATAGAGAGTTATTATCCCCAGTTGCTGAGACATAGCAGAAAGTTCTTCAGAGTATCTTTCTGAGTGATATCCAAGTGGGAATTAACTGTGGGCCGATGGCTCACACTCATCTTGTGACCAATGACACTATCTACACCTCCGATATTGTTCCATTTTAAATTCATTAGAGCTACAGGATCTCTTGTGCTGTTGTGAATGTTTGATATAAGTAATTTCCTTTTTCATTTCCAGGAATTTTTGTGTTTTTGTTCCAGATTACATTATTATAGCCTCTCACATACTCACAAAGAAGGCTTGCTGCAATGCTAGCTCCAAAATGTCTTTTTCCTTTAAATCAGTTTCCCATGATTTTTATTTTAGTTTCCTCACTTGCTCTTTCATAAGAGAAATCAGTTCACACTTCATTAGCATTTAGAAACAAAAAAATCACAATATTTTGGTATAAAATACATTTTAAAAAAGTCCCCAAAGCCAGGAAAAAAAAACTATTGAAAAATATCAAGGGAAAAATACTGACTTAATTTTTAAAAAGCCTTCCTTGTACTGTGTGTGTTACTGAACACTGCCCTTCTCTTTTGACCCCAGAGTCCCTTCCAGGCATGTGAATCTTTATTTTGGAATGTTTTTATGCTATAAATCACACCCTTGCAACATCCTTCTAATGCAGTCAGTTTACATTGTGTGATGATTAACCGAAATAATTACAAAAGGAACCAAAAGCAAGAACGATGGTATGACAGGAGGAGGAAGTACAGGGAGGTTTTTGAAACAGAAATTGAAAACAGATTATGCCAACCAATTGCAAGCAGAAGGATATGATCCCCAAGAAAAGGCCCTGGAGAAAGCTAAAGATTTGAAAATTTAATTAAAGATGGAGAAGAAACAAGCTAACATTATGCACTTATGTTTTAGATAACTTGTCAAGAGAAAGAAGAGTAAACTTGAATTTATGAAGTGTCAAAAATGCATCTGGCCCTGTGCCAGGCACATTGCATGTTATCTTTGAGAATCATGAAGGAAGGTTTACATTCTCATTCTGACCCCGTATTGAGCCTAGTGTCTAGTGGAACACAGGATGAAAGAGGGTTTACAGAGGCAAGTAATCAATGCTCTGAATCTCAGACTCACTTGTTGCTCCCAGTACCATTTCCTCGAAGCTTTTCACATGCCCAGTTTGTGAATTATTCCATCTACCCCACTTGCATTCTAATCAAAATCTGTTCCTACCTAACTAGCAGCTTGTAAGAAATCTGATAAGTTGATCATTTTAATTGCTGACAATGACTTATATCATTTACCCTTCTAGAGCTGCTGGATTTTAACAGGGAGAATTCAGTTAGCTCTCACAAGGTACTCCCTAAGTGCAGAACTTCAAGCTGACATAAAGAGATACATGGAGAATTATATAGGGTCAAACAGTCCCTTACGGTGCTTCTGAAATGACATTAAGAAAGTTACGAGGGCCAGGCACAGTGGCTCATGCCTGTAATCCCAGCACTTTGAAAGGCTGAGGTGAGTGGATCACTTGAGGTCAGGAGTTCGAGACCAGCTTGGCCAACATGGTGAAACCCCATCTCTACTAAAAATACAAAAACAAACAAACAAGCAAACAAAACAGGTGTGGTGGCACACACTCGTAGTCCCAGCTACTTGGGAGGCTGAGGCAGGAGAATCACTTGAACCCAGGGGGCAGAAATCGCAGTGAGCCGAGATCATGCCACTGCATTCCAGCCTGGGCAACAGAGCAACAGTCTATCTCAAAAAAAAAAAAAAAAAGAAGAAGGTTGCCAGCCACGTTGCTTTAATTTTAGGATTAGCTAAAAGGCAGTGTGATGTGGCAAAAGATTACAAGCCTCAGAGTGAGAGCAGGTGCCTCCACCGCTTGCAATCTGTGTGACACTGGGTGAGTTTCTTAGTTTCTTCAATACTCAGTTTCATTATCTGTAAAAGAAAGACAACGATCCCCTTACAGCAATGAAGATTAAATGATTTGATATTCCACTTATACACAGCATATGATTTCCTAAAAAGCTCTAAGTCTGGGACATCATATACTGAAAGGTGACAGAGCCTGTAAGCCCCTGGGCTTCCTGCATGGCAGCCAATCTGAGGGCGTTCTTCCTTCCTCCTAGAGGTTTCAATTCTTCTCCTGCCATTCTCGTTATGCCTTTCCTAGGAAATTGTGTATAATTGAACACAACTATTCTTGAAACTAACAAAATTTTCTATGTACCAATACACTTGAGCTAACTGGTGGTATCAAAACAAGTATTGCAGAGCAGACTGTATGTCAAATGGCTTGGAGAGGATTTTGTGTATATACCTCGGTTTATATTTCATCCGCTTTTTGTTTGATTAATTCTTGAGCCGTAGGGACTCAGTCCCAAAAATAAAGTTCTTTCCTTTCTTGCTCCAAGAGATATATTGGCAGAAACGTAAGTTAGCCTGAGGAGAAGGGACACATATGCAGTCCTCTGCATACTGAGCTCTTTAACCAGGTGTAATATTCAAAACATTTCATAACCAGAATGTCATATAATCAATGAATCAGAAAGATACTGGCTTGATGCTGGTAAGGTCCGAGAGGTTTCTGCTGGCCAGGTGTAATTACTTTAGTGTCCTGGGCTTGTAGGGAGGGTCCAAGCATTCTGGAAAAAGGGTCAAGTGACAGCTGAGTAAGGGGGTGGCAAGGTGGAATATGGGGTACTGGGTGTTGGGGAAAAGTATTTCAATGTTTTAAAAAGTGGTGTGGTCTTTGATCATTTCACCTGATATTATCTCTGGATTTTTTTTGCTACCTAGTTGTATCTATCCTCATGACACCCAGAAAACATGGAGCCAGATGAAGCCATAGTTGCCATCTGTCTGGCTCAGGAAGGCTCACACATTTATTGAGATTCATTACTGAAGAGACTACTTTACCTTCCAGGAGCATCTCCTTTCTCATCAAACCACACCTCCTCTCCAGACACGCCGATGAAGGAGGACTTGATGAGGAAGTCCAGGAGCTTTCTGCCGTCGATGGGCTTCATGGCATCACAGAGGCCCACGTGGCCAGGGCAGAGGGCATGGTGCATGTTTTGTAGCCCATGTGCCATGGCATAGATGGCATTGATGACAAACCCCATCTTACTGTCCTGGACATAGTTTTCTTCTAAGCTTTCATTGCCTGTAACAATAAAAGTAGATCACTCTCAAGGTCACAATAATAAAGACTAGGCTCACAGGTTGAATCCTCAAATGCTTTCTGGGGCTCTCAGAGGAAGGCAATGGGCAGAGACACTGGCAGAGACCAAGCCCACTTGTGCAAGCTTTGCACTTGCGACTAGCTCCAGTGGATTCCACCTGCAGATGGTTTATTCGGTCATATTCTGTCTATTCAATAATGGTCTTATGAGATATAAAGCAAACTCCATAGAGGTGAAAATAAATGACTTTTGAATATTGTAAAGCAATCCTGAAGGAGTAATGGAAATAATTCTTATGCCCTCTTTGTTCACAGGAACTTATATTAAAAATCTTCCTATATCATGGTACTAGAAAAGTATTTCTTCTATTCCTTTATGACAATCCACAGTTCACAGGAATTCAGTTTGTGCATTATCTAAACCATGGTATTTTCTTTTGGTGATTCCACTATTGTTACCATTTCTAGGGCCAGAAAAATACAGAGTTAGAAAAAAAGGCCAGTATGGATCTCTTCTTATATATGGTTGACAGGGCTGAAATATTTAAATCAGATTTGCTAGTTATTAGAAACTCAGGTAAAATGTTTCTTGATGGAAGAGTCACACTACCCATTAACTTTAGCCTTTAGATTTTACCTGTGAATTTCAAAAACCCTGGAATCATTTCTACCTATGTCACAGTTGATCAAAAGCTCCTCTACTGCCAACAGGTTCACAAGAGTGGTACTGTGTTACATATAAGCTCCATATTGGAAGTCTAGACTTCAGGACTTACATATGGATGAGAAATTTGGGAACCAATTGGGTTGGCTGAAATAAAGGTAGCAGGTTTGGAAAACAAAAAATGTATTTGGGACACATCACTGGCATAACTCAGAGACTGTAGTTGGTTCCTGAAACTTGCTTCTCTCTTCAGTGAGCTTTTCCTTCCTCATTTGACTGATAGTGGGGGATCAATGTGATGTGTGCTTGAAATATTAGAAGTTGGGAAAGTCAGCATTTCAGCTGCCCGTGGGGCTGAGAACAACATGGGGCTCCTCACACTCCCTGCCAGCCGCCCTCTTTGTTCCAGCCTAAATAGGTCACTGGACACTAAGGTTCCCAGGCTAAGACTGGCAGAGAAATATTTAGGAAGTTAGACAGTTTGAGTCTTCAGAAGAAATGGCAAAGAGTTTTGACTTTGATATCAAACTTGGGATGAAAATGGACATTTTAAAGAGTTATATTTAAAGGCCTATCTATTTAGATGTAGTCAAAAGTTTGAAAAAGATATATGTATATCTACCCTGAGAGTGAGATCTAAAATACCCAGGCTAGGGTAAAGGAGAAGAAGATTCTATTTTAATCCATTTTCCAGCTTTGGGTGATAGGACATTGTTAAAAGAGTAATTTTCTAAAGCAATGTTTTCCTGATTGAAAGGAAATTTTCCAAGAGGAAATGAAGAGTAAGAGAGACAGGAAGGGCATTTTAAAATCAAACTGCACATAATAACTATAGAAAGTTATATAAGACAGAAAGAAAAAATCCTCCTTCCAAAAACTGCACAGTCATTTAAACAGGGTTCTTCTGTCCTCTGTCACCCAGAACCCAGGGCCCTTACTGTTGGATTTCGCGCTCTCCCTCTCCAAAGCTACTGGGATCGTGAAAGAGGTAAATTTGTGCTGTTTGTCTGATAACTCTTAAACAAGCCCTGATAGGCTTGCCCAGAACCCCAAATGCTAAATATTAAAGCTACTAGAATCAGAGCTAAAGAAAAAAAAAAGACAAAAATTGAGTGACAAAGTAACCTTCAAAGCAGCAGCCCCTTAAAATCAATACTAAATACTAAAACCATCCCCCAAAGTCGCAGTCATTCCAGCCAATACCAGGATCAAACTGTAGAAAAATATGACAATAAACACCTAATGTTCTTTACCAAATGAAAAATTATCTGTTAGGGACAAGCCTTGTGGCCACTGAGTTTGCTCTTCTTGATTTAATAACTACTATTTAAGATTTATTTTACATAGATAAAAAATTATGTTGGTGTCCCTGGTACAACAAGCCAGTGCCAGTGGTTGTCTAGTGGGTACTAAACATTCATCAGCACTGAGACAGGAACTGCTCTTGGACATCTGTGAGATCAGTGTTTTCCTTTTCATCCTCGTTTAGAGTGATCACATAACTTATGGCTTGGGTCACTTTTTAGAGAGAGAGTTAGTGTTGGTAATGATTATTTTGAAAAACATAGGTGTAAACAAGGCAAACTAGGCAAATTGTGTCACGTCTTTTAACCCAGGTGCCTTCTGTGTCTATCTTCTGATGTTAACATGGGTAAAATTAATATACAAATATGTATGTATAGATACACGTAAACATATGGACATAGATACATATGTCTGTACAAACAATAAACAGCCAATAGAATGCTATTTTTTAACCAATTTCAACATTTATCTAATTTTTCTTTTTGAGATGGAGTCTCACTCTGTCACCAGGCTGGAGTGCAGTGGCCCAGTCTCAGCTCACTGCAACCTCCACCTCCCAGGTTCAAGCGATTCTCCCGCCTAAGCCTCCTGAGTAGCTGGGACCATGCCCACAAAATTAGGCACCATGCCCACCTAATTTTGGTGTTTTTAGTAGAGACAGGGTTTCACCATGTTGGCCAGGATGGTCTCTATCTCCTGACCTTGTGATCCTCCTGCCCTGGCCTCCCAAAGTGCTGGAATTACAGGCACGAGCCACAGTGCCTGGCCACACTTACCTAATTTTTAAAAAATTTATTTGATAAATATTTATCCATACCTATAATATACCTGGCACTGGTTTTGGCGATGGGGTATTATATAGACAAAACGTACAAGAATGCCTGATGTCACAGGACTCAAATTCTTGTAAAAGGCTATAGAAACATTTTTTTAATTAATACGACTAAGAACATTTATGTAATTATTACAATTAAATAAGTGTGATAAAAGAAATAAAAAAGAACAGGAAAGAAAAATTAGGAATGCTGAGACAGTATTATGTAGATGGGTTAGAGTCGACCTCACTAAAAAGAAGAGAGTTGAGTGAATAATTGAAAAAGAATAGGGAGTTAATCGGGCAAATATCTGGGAAACAGCATTTAAGGAAAAGGCAATAGCTTCATATCTACAGTAATAATAATACTAGCTACCAGTTCTTGAGTGTTTGTTATATACAATACTTAATAGATGAACTATAATGCTCACCATAATCTGCCAACTAAATATTGGTCTCACTGTTTGACAGGTGAGGAAACCATGTGGTATAACTAGATTCAAAAGCCTCCTCAGTCCTTGTTCTTCCTGTCACACTTAGTGGCAATGCAAGGGCAGGTATAGAAATCTAGAGGAGACACTTTTCTGGTGACAGAGGACAGGGCATCCTTCAGTGCCCTGACATCATTGTCAAGCCTGGGTTAGAACTTCTCCCTGGGGTCATTCCAGATGTGCACAGCTGTCTCTCTGACTGCAAGTACTGGCACCCAATCTATCAATAGCAAACGATGACAAAGAAGCCCATTCTAAATGATGACAAAGAAGCCCATTCTGTCAGTATCATATTGAGAGCCGGGAGGCTAGACACATGCTTCTGGGGAGTATTTGGAAAGCTCACACCCCTTTCCAAAATAAACACAGAGTTTGTGTGTTTGTGTCCATCTGAAGTGGGTACCTTTGCTCTCTTACCCTGCCAGTCCCCTGGCTCTGTACACCCAGGGGCGTCCTCCTGTCAGAAAGAACTCTCTTCAGCTACTGCCTCAGTCTCAGCCTTCCTGGCCCCAATCTAATGAACTAGCATGGAGGGACATGTGACATAAAGTTGGAAGGTCATGTGGTTTTAACAGGGCCATTTCCTTTACCACAGCAACTGTCCCAGATAACGTTTTAAGGATCTATCATCTGACAAACAAAATCTATGATAGTCTTCTCTGTCCTCTAAAGATCCTATATTTTCATGACTAGTGAATAGAGAATTATAAACTAATAACATTGTCACTTGCTGGGAAGGTGAAAACACTTCGGTTTCCTGGGGTTTAGTGCCTTTTCATAACACTTGTCTCAGAGTTATTAGCAAGAAGGAGATTTTATGAATCATTTTCTGTGGTGCGTTACCTATCTGGGACCACTAGGATATCATTAAACCATTACCTTTTTTAATATGCTAAATGGAACCAAATAATTGCAACTGACTGTGTTTATTTACTTTCAAAAGAATACCTGCCTAACTACTTCACTGTGGGCTATGAAAATAGCTGCCTTGGTTCTAAATAGTAATCTTGTTCTTATTGTGAAAGCTCGACAAGGCCTATAAACTGCTATCCGAGTCAGCGGCACACAGGCTCTCCATGGGGACAGAAACAGACAGGGCAGCCTCTGAAAACAGGAAATTCGTGGTGGCTGGGAGAAAGGGCAGTAACTCCATCTGCTGTCATTTAGGATGGTTTTTCAGCAGAGTGGTAGAGCAGAAAGAACTCTGGACGAGGCACATGAGCAGCTGGGATTAGATACAGTTCTGTTGTACCGTATTAACAATATATTTCCAGCCAGGTTTGGTGGCTCATGCCTGTAATCCCAGCACTTTGGGAGGTCGAGGTGAGTGGATCATTTGAGGTCAGGAGATCAAGACCAGACAGGCCAACATGCTGAATCCCTGTCTCTACTAAAAATACAAAAAAAAATTAACCAGGCATGGCGGCAGGTACCTGTAATCCCCGCTACTGCAGAGACTGAGGCA